GTTCACACTGATGTATGGGGTCCCACAAAGAATGTCTCATTAGGAGGAAAGAGGTGGTTTGTCACCTTTATTGATGACTACTCGAAGAGAGTTTGGATGTATCTCTGAGGCACAAAAACGAGGTTCTCCAAATCTTCCTAGAGTGGAAGAAAATGGTAGAGAATCAGACGGACAAGAAAATCAAAAAGTTGAGATCAGACAACGGGGGAGAATATACTTATGATCCATTCCTTAAAGTATGCCGAGATGAAGGGATCGTTCGACACTTCACTGTTCCTGGTAAGCCATAACAAAATGGAGTTGCTGAGAGAATGAACTAGACATTAATAGAGAAGGTTCGATGCATATTGTCTCAAGCAGGATTGAGTAAGGCATTTTGGGCTGAGGCTCTCAGGTATGCAGTTCACTTGGTGAATCGTTTACCTGTTTCTGGAAACGGTGGGAGAACTCCGCTTGAGGTATGGTTTGGTAGTCCTGTTACTGATTATGATAAATTGCATGTGTTTGGGTGTCCTTTTTATTATCATGTGACAGACTCAAAGCTGGATCCTAGAGCAAAAAAAGCCAAGTTTATGGGCTTTAGCAAAGGTGTGAAGGGCTATAGGTTATGGTGTCCAGATACAAGTAAGATTGTTAATAGTCGAGATGTGACATTCGATGAGTCTGGAATTTTTTTTGCAGAAAATTGAAAATAATGACGAGGCATTGAAGCAGGTGGAGAAGGTGGTGTTCTCTCCTGATGTGGTTGCTCCTATTGAAGAACCTATTGATCAGGTAAATAATAACTTTGATGTCTTAGAATAGAAAGAGCAAAGTCTTGAGGAGCAAAGCCTTGTAAATGAAAGAGTGGAGGAACCCGAGTCAATCGCCAAGAATAGACCACAAAGGGTAATTCGAAAACCTGCAAGGTTTGATGATACGATAGCATATGCTTTCTCTTTGATTGATGGAGTTCCTAACAGTTACAAAGATGCTATTCAGAGCCCGGATAGCTTACACTGGCAAGAGGCTGTGAATCAGGAGATAGCATCATTGGAGATAAATCAAACTTGGGATTTGGTACAACTTCTAAAAGGTAAGAAGGAAATTGGTTGTAAATGGGTTTTTGCAAAAAAGGAAGACTCTTCTGGTATACGTTATAAGGCTCGACTTGTGGCTAAAGGCTACGCACAAAAAGAAGGTATTGATTACAATGAAATTTTCTCACCTGTGGTAAAACATTCTTCCATTCGAATTTTGTTGGCTTTGGTTGCTCAATTTAATCTTGAGCTTGCACAACTCGATGTAAAAACTGCTTTTTTGCATGGAGATTTGGAAGAAGAAATATATATGGCGCAACCAGTCAGTTTCCGAGTAGTTGGACAGCAACATTTAGTATGCAGATTGAAGAAATCTTTGTATGGGCTGAAGCAATCCCCTCGTCAATGGTATAAAAGGTTTGATCATTTCATGGTAGAGCATATGTATACTCATAGTCAATTTGACCATTGTGTGTATTATCGGTGTCTCGATGATGGATCATTTATCTATTTACTCTTATATGTTGATGATATGTTAATTGCTTCGAAGAGACAGGTGGAGATTGATAAGCTCAAAGATGAGCTTTCTAAAACATTTGAAATGAAAGACTTAGGCAATGCAAAGAAAATACTTGGAATGGAGATAGAGCGAGATCCGAAAAAAGGTACAGTCTGGTTGACTCAGTCTCAATATCTACGCAAGGTATTGTCAAGATTTAATTTGAATAATTCAACCAAACCCGTTAGTACTCCACTTGCTCCTCATTTCAAACTTAGTGCTTCCATGTGTCCAAGTTCTGACGATGACAAAAGGTATATGGAGAACATTCCTTATACAAATGCTGTTGGTGCGTTGATGTATGCTATGGTGTGTACTCGATCTGATCTTTCACACGCAGTAAGCATGGTGAGTCGTTATATGCATAATCCTGGTAAAGAGCATTGGCAGGCTGTAAAATGGATTCTTAGGTACATTCTTGGCACTATTGATGTTGGTATTAAGTTTCAAAAACAAGAAATGTTTAATCTTGACAATCGTGTAGCTGGTTATGTGGATTCTGATTATGCTGGTGATTTGGATAAGCGACGATCTACTACGGGTTATTTATTTACTATGGCTGGTGGACCTGTTTGTTGGCGTTCAACATTGCAGTCTACTGTTGCATTTTCTACCACTGAAGCAGAGTATATGGCAGTAACGGAAGCTTTTAAAGAAGCTATTTAGATGCATGATTTGATCAATGACTTGGGTATTTTGCAGGAACATATAGATGTATTTTGTGATAGCCAGAGCTCTATTTTCTTGTCAAAAAATCAAGTCCATCATGCTCGTACAAAACACATTGATGTCCGTTTTCACTTTATTCGAGAAATTATTAGCAAAAGGGATATTCGTTTATTAAAAATTGGAACTGCTGATAACCCTATTGATATGTTGACAAAGGTGATCGCTCGTGAAAAGTTCTGGCATTGTTTGGATTTCATCAACGTCGGAAGGGAGTAGTGTGTTGACGTGGTAGCAACCAAAATCGCTATCAACTTGGAGATCTTATGACAAGGTGGAGATTGTTGAACACTGTCATAAGCCCTATTCTCTAGGACCAAGACCTATTCTCAAGGTCTTTTTAGGCTTGTTAGTTTATCTTTAGGTTTAGCAGAGGGCTATATAATGCCATTCTTTCTGCTGTTGAAATCATCAAGTTTTGAGTGTCATATTGTATGTTTTGAGTAACTTTGGTGTTGTGAGTACATTTGTTCCGCTTTCGGCGCACAACAATATGGTTGCTCGCTCGATTGTCTAGGTTCCATATGTTGGTCTCCATTTGGTCTTATCCATCTGCGAAGAGGTCTGCCATAATCTTCTCTTCATTGAGGATCAATAGGTTGGGCATCTTCTCGGCTAACATGAGTGTAGGCTCTTCGTTATCTGTGAATGTGAGGTTTGCCTCCTCATCGCACTTCTTGTTGCAGCACTCCACCGCATAATACTTGTATTTTTTACAAGAGTAACACTTAATCATACTCTTCTCCTTCAATTGGTTGACATCGTCATGAGTTTATGAGGTATTGTTACGACCTCTCCTGTCACCACCTACGTGGCCATGTCTGTAACCACGCCCATGATCGTGCGAGCCACTCCTCATGTGTGAGTAAGAGGTTATTCTCCTTCTTTTTATCTTCGTAGCCACTAAGTCTCTCCTCATGCACTTCAAGACGACCAGTGACCTCCTCAACCGATATGTTCTTAAGGTCATCGAACTGCTTAATGGAGGTAACAATCTACATGAATCTAGGGGGGATAACTCGAAGGAACTTCTTGACGATGGAGATCTCCTCCACCTTGTTGCTTAACGAATGGATGTTACTAATGATCATTGTCAACTTCATGGCAAAGTCGTCTATTTACTCACCATTCTTCATTCAAATAGCCTCTAACTCACTTTACAAGGTCTGCACTTTTGCTTCCTTGACACATTCCACACCCACATGCATTGTTTACAACATCCCCCACACTGCCTTTGTCGAGTCATTCTCTGCCAACATGAGAAGGATATCCTCCGGGACTGCTTGGTAGATGGTGGTAAGAGCCATCATGTCCTTATGTTCCTCAACGTCATCACTATGCTCGATAGCGCCCCACATGCCTTATGTTTGTAAGTTAACACACATCTTTATCGACCATGCTGCATAGTTACACTTTGTGAGTGCTAAGTACTGGAACATTACTCTTTGTCATATCTCCTCTGATGACTTTGTATGGTGACGAAATTTGTTTCGACATCCTTACTCTGATACAATTGAAATGTATCAAAACAAATATATTAATTATAAAGAACAACCGGAGAGATGTTTTGAACTAAACCTTTTTTCAATTTTTTTTATAGAATATACATACGAGGTGACCCGTATTTATAGGAGAGAAAACACTAACAAACTTCTTAAATTTTCTCATAAAGTTAAAACCACAAACTAAGTAAATCACTAACTATTTTCTTAAATTTAAGAAGGCCTCTTCGAGGACCGAAGCTCAAATTAATAACTATTTTTACTCGATGAACCTGACTAACTCACATCCACCCTCTCCCTTCGTTCTTCGTTCACCAAACCCTAATAACTCCCTTTCCTTCTTTTTCTTTTGATTTCATTGTTTATCTCTCTTTCAACTCCCTTCCCTATTTCCCTATTTCTTTCTCTCTTTTGTTTTCCTTATTTCTCTCTCTTTTGCATTTTTTTTCCAAGATAGAGTTCAACCCCTCAAAAATGGTAAGTGGGGGCAAAATTACCGGGTTGACCTTGACCCTTTTTTCTTTTTCTAATTTCTTATATTTCTTTTAATTCTTTTAATTCTCTTCGGATTCCCTCTCTAACATCCCTAATAATATCTACGAAGCTGAAAATAAATAAGAGCGATTAAGGAATAAGGAAACTAGGTATTACAGAGTACCTACTTCTCGCTTCTTAAGAGTAACGACTGTCTCCAAAGACCAATACGAGTCCTTTAAGCATGTTTTGTTCTCACTCACATGCTCCTAATAAAATTAGTAGGAGCTCACCCAACTTAAAATGGCTCAAAGTAAAACACACTTAACAATAGAACTATAATTGAGTAACCTAAAAAAGAGGTGCACCTTGTTGGTTTTCAATTCTTTCAAGTCTTTTTTATTTATCCTATTATTAGTATCGCTCTCATTAAGATGTGGTCTCTGTTTATTTATATACTCCTCCTTTACTCAAGTTTCATAATAACTTCGATTCAATATATTTCTGCCATATTTATACGCTTTTCATTATCTATCTTCATAAGCTCCTTTTTGTAACTTCAATTATAAAACTTCCAAAAAAATTTATACATTTTTTTTCTTTACACCATGCAACTCAGATTTTAACTTCACCTCCTTAGTTTCTTCAGAAGTAGATTAAAAGAAGTAAAAACAACATATATATATCTTGTTACATCACCATGGAAACTAACTATCTATAAAAACAAATATTTAAAAACGTTTCTCATTTGTTCATGAACATGCAAGATCACAAGAAACTGAAATAAATTGAGTTTATTGTAGAAAAAAGAGTAAAGATAATAATGGATTTCATGAATTAAACATTTTTATGTTGTTTGTTGTGAAGTAGATGGTCATTTGCTGCTTGAGCAATGTCTATGAGAGGCTGTATGGAAACAAGTGAGGCATTTGCAGCATCTTCTTCCTTGATATCATATTCAATGGTGGATTCAACAATGCAACTATCATCACCATTTTCAACTATCTTCAAGCGAACCCTATAGAGAGTAAACCCGATATCCAAGAACCCTCCTTCCACCACTTCGGTCTCTTTTATACGATTCTCATTATCTATTTTTGTGAATTTCTCCTTATAGCCTGGGGCACCACCTAAACCTGCATTTATACATAGACTTTCATATCACTGAATCCATACTCCACGTAACATATTTGATCCCTAATCTGTGAGATTCCACATCGATTAGAGAGAGGAACGAGTGTCATCGAGGACGCTGGACCCTAAAGAGGGGTGAATGATGAGATCCCACATCAGTTGGGAAAGAGAACGAAACATTCTTTATCAGGGTGTTGAAACCTCTCCCTAGCAGCAGAGGCGTTTTAATAAATTTGAGGAAAAGTCTAAAAGGAAAAGTTCAAATAAGACAATATTTGATAGGTGTGGACTTAGACCATTACATAATCAATTTAACAAATTTAGATGTTCGTTATAGAATAAACTCATGGGAAATATTGAATGGAAGAATGTCATGAAATTCTCTAAAGGCTTAAAACAAGAAAATAGGAAGATTATTAGAAATTATTACTTGGTTGGAAAATGATATTAAGAACAGTTCCTTCTCCTCCATCACCTTCAACCACCTCTATTTTCTTGATAAGGTTCGGGAGGCGGTTTTCAACCAATCGTGCGAGTTCGAGGCCTCCGTAGAGCTGCCATACGACGGTGGCTGATGCCTGGATTGCCGCCTCATGGGAGAGCTGACCCAACATCTTCTTAGTTTTGAGGTGTGGGTTTGGTGGATGAAGACAGAGAAAGATGATAAGAAATGAGAGGACGAACTAGTTTATGAAGAGCAAGGACAAAGACATGTGGATAAGAATATTCTTTATGAGTTAAAGATAATAACGCACAAAATTTAGGAGAAAATTGTTAATTAAAATTTTAGTTCCTAATTATAAGGATTTGGATTAGTTTCCAAATTTTTTTTTTAATCGACATGAAAAAGGAAGTTTGGTTTAGGTTTTAAAATCTTCCTTTTTTCTTATTTAATTTTTATGATCAATGGTTTTGGTCTATAAAGTTTATGATTTGTAAATTTTGAAAGGTGAAAATATATCAATTTCCTTTTGGAACAAAATATATGAATTTTTAATACTATTGATAAATTAAAATAATAGTAGTAAATGTAATGTTTATGTTTGAATGTCAATGATTAACGCAAAATAATTGTCTATACAAAAGTATGGATAAATGATTATCATTCATTTGCTTGTATTTTTTATTTTAACTTTAGGAAAAAAAAAATTGTGTTCTAATTAATTATGAACAAACTTACGAATGTATTAATGGTTTTAGATTGTAATTGTACGTTCTTCTATCATAATTTTAAAAATAATATTTTATTCTTCATCGACGATGGAACAAGTACAAACAAGAAGGGGCTAGGTAAAACGAAAAGTGTAGAAGTGGTCATATCTCCCCAAGTTTTTGTGGAAAAAAGAAGTTTAGGTTGATCTAAAGCGAGGGGACGAAAAGAAATCAGGAAAAATCCCGAGTGGTGGAGAAAGAAACCATGGTTGAAAAAGCTAAAAAATACCCAATAGGTTAAGAGTTTCTTCCTCAAATTTCTACTTCGAACGTGAATGATTGAGCTCGAATCCTTAGAACTTTTACTCAATAAAGTCCATAGGATTAATTTTTTTTTTCAAATCTGGCACTACGATTGAAATCGACCCTGTCTTCACAAGAAGTGTACACTGAATCAAAGAGGAGAGGTTTAGGCATTCGAGCCGCTTGATTTCAGTAAGAAATGAGAAAGAATGAAGTAAGTTCAATGAGTTTCTAACTTCGATTTTTTTTTTTTTGAAAAATTGAAAGCATTCTAGACTAGATTTATAATTTTCGTGAAGAAATCGAGTCATTTTATTACCGATAAAAAAATATAAAAATGTAAAGAAAATGGATTGGGAAAGAAGTTTACCAAATTTCTCAAAAAAATTGAAACACAGGTGAAGAACTCATATGATATATGTCAAAAGACGAGCAATGGAATGTGTTTGCCCCCGACTTGAACCGTATCCAATCCAAGATCTGGGTTTGCAACCCGACTCAATACTCGCGATTTGGTCCATTAACCTAGAACCAACCTAACTAAGTGGCCTATTGGTAGGCGCCATGTGTTGCCATAAAATATTTGGCAGTAAACCACGCACATTGTGGCTCGAAAAACAGTAGCTGACTAAGCATTGACCAAAGTGCCCATGTGTGAACTCTTGCTCATCGGAGCTCCGTTTTTAGCTCAATCGATGTGGAATCATTCTTGGAAGTTGCTTGAGGAATGATTTCTCTTGGTTATTATTTTTGTTGAAGAAAATAGTCTAAGGTTGGGTTGAGTAAGGAGAATTACTCAAGAATTCTACCGACTAAGGTAGATTATAATGGATTAGATCTTACCCGTTGACTTTAATGAATACTCTACGTTAAAATTTGAGCTTTAATTTTTTTGTTAAGTTAGAGTTTTAAGGAAATACACCTCTCATCTTGTTGTATTTATAATGATGAAGCATAATACACAAAATAGCACTATTTTATATGAGTTCTAAAGTGCATGATGTATGACCCAACATGATATAGACTGTGTTTCTAAGGTGCATGCATGAACAAACCGTGCGTGAGGCATATGAAGATAACAAAAACAATAAAGAAAAATATGGATGCATGCTTCTAAGTAGTACAATCAGGTAGCAAAAGGTGTGGACTGAGAATTCCCTTCAGCTTCAGGCTTCTTTAGAGGAAATGTTTTCTTCCACTTCTATCAATTTTTCTTCCTCTTCTATCAAATGTTATGGTTCTATGTGGATTAAATGTGGCCTTAATCTTCGAAAATATCCCCAGGAAAGTTTGGAAATGCTGAGCTTTTTGTTGACTTTGGTCTTCAAGGTTTTTTCTATTTCGTTATCTCTCTTTCTTGTATAAGACCAATATGCCTTGCATCTTACTTGATTGTTTTCACACCGAGTATGTTCTCGTGTCGCTCCATCATTTAATCTGTACCTACTGTTAAATTACTACTCTTCCTTGCACTACTGCTTGAGCTTTCCTTGTGGCTTCCTATGAATTCCATCAAACTTTTCGCATCCAGCTTTTCTTCCTCTTCATCAAAAGCTACCACCGCTTCCAGACACCGCATAGTTATCAACGGTGAAAAACACCTTTCTCACTCTCTTGCTTGAACATTTACTTATTTCTTCGGCTATAATCTTGCCTACATCGATCTTAAGTTTTTCATGATTGTAAATATCAATAAAACTTATTCAGTAGACATCGTTGTGTTATGTGTGTTAAGTAGTATCACGGTCATGCTCGTCTAGGGCGTGTTACCCATGGCCGCATGCCCTTGTCACGCCAAACCCTTTGTTTGATTTCATATTGTATTGCCTTACTATTGTATTTTCTATTTGTATGACTATTCGGCGAAATCATGTTTAGGTCTGCTAGATCTAATTCGCCTCAAAATTTACTATAGACAGATGCGACTAATCATCAATTCTTCCAACCTGCTAGTTATAACATTGCTTTCTTCCGACCAAGCTACTGTGTTACCTTTTTTTGCTTATAGCCTATAAAATTGCTTTCAGAAACTTCTTTCAATCTTGCTTTTAATCTCTCTTTCGAAAAATCTCTCTGCTACTGTTTTCTAAAACTTTCTTCTCACAACGGGGCCAAAGGCTTGAGCATATGCTGCCTGGCCATAGGTGATGCGAATTCAAATCGGCTTGAATCACTCGGTGTTGGTGGTGAGTGTCGCACAATCACAAAGTCCATTGCCAAGAAAAGTGCATTGTGACAAGTGATATCAAAGTTTTGTTAGCTCTTTGATGCAATGAGACCAAAACAATGTTGATGATAAAATCGACACCTAAATCACAAACTAATCGACTTACCTTGATAGAAGAGGAAATATTGTTTCTAAAAGAAGTACCTGATATTCTTCGAGTCCTGGAAGGACAAGGGACAAAATTGAATGAAAAGTTGATGGAATTGATGCAATTGACGCCTGCCTTGATGGGTTACTGATTAAAGAATTGATATAGAGTTGACTCATTAAAAGAAAGATCTGCCCGAACAAGTTGCTCAAAACGTGTTGGTAGCCCCAAAAGCTTTGTCGCCATGATAAAGTTAACCAACAAATTAGCTGATGAATTCAGAACAATTATTGATGCCATCAGCAGATAGTTGATCGAGATGAACACCCGAGTGAGTTTGACAATGAGGACCATAGAGAATCATACCCCTATGCCAAGCTCACATTGAGCTTAACAAACTAAAGATCCTAGAACCCAAAACATTTAAAGAGAATCGGGATGCCAAAGAATTGGAGATCCTTATCTTTGACATAGAATAGTTCTTCAAAGTTATAGGAACTTCTTCTGAAGACCTAAAAGTTACGTTAGTCACAATGCATCTCGTGGATGATATGAAACTCTGATAACATAGGTGAGTGATATCCAAAATTAGTCATGCACCATCCACTCATGGCAAAACATTAAGAAAGAATTGATGGCTTAATTCTTCCTCGAAAATGTTCGATCATAGTGAGGCTGAAATTGCAAGAACTGAGACACACGGTTGGAGAAGGACAAAGTGTACTGCTTTGTCCAAGAATTGCAATCCTAGGCCAAGTAAAGTTATACAAACAAAAGGTTTGGCAGGGGGAAGTTAGATTCCAAAGAAAGAGTACACCAACCCCAAACTATCAATGCAAACCTTATACTCCGGGTCAGCAAAATGAAGACCCCAATTGGCCAAACAGAGAGAACGATGGACCAAATGGGGAAATAGATAGACCTCCTCAGAGTACAAACATCGGGCAATCTCGAGGACTCTACCTCAGAAGGAACTATCCAATGACCCTTTAAAGTGCCTTTTGTGTAAAGGCCCCATAGACTGTCCTACTGCATCGGGCGTCGCTCAATGCACTCCAAGTCTCCATATAAGAGAGCAACGACACAGGAGACGAGCCAGAAAAAAAAAAAAAAAGGAAGACAAAGATAACTCCAAGATGGATGCGCTGAAATTTTTGTTAGTCATTTAAAAGAAGATCGACCTGATAGAAGTAATAGAGAAGGGGCTTACGTTCGTAGGTACGATAATAAACTCGAGACCCAACAAAAGCATCTTGATAGACTAAGACGCGACTCATAATTTCATTGTTGACCAAGAAGCCGAAGATTGAGACTCATAATAGAAAAGGACCCTGGAAAAATGAAAGCTACTAATTTTGAGGCCCTACTTATAGCTCGAGTTTCTAGGAGAGTTTCCTTGAAACTAGGGGATTAGTTAGAAAAAATGAACTTGGTTGTGGTTTGCATGGATGACTTCCATGTGGTACTTGAAATGGACTTCCTCCTCGAGCATAAAGTCATCCCAATGTCATTGGTGAAGTGCATAGTGATTACCGATTGCAATCCTATAGTAATTCCCACAAGCATCAAACAACCAATCAATCTCATAATGATTTCCGCCTTACAATTGAAAATAGGGCTCACGCGCGAGGAGCCTATATTTATGGCTATACCTTTGGTGGAAGATGTAATCATTCAAACCCATTCTAAGTGAAGTTAGGGATGTCGTAGACACTTATGCTGACAAAATACCCGACAGCTTGCAAAAAATGCTACCACCTCGTCAGAGTATTGATCACGAAATTGTGCTTCTTCCTGGGGTCAAACCTCAAACGAAGAATGCATATCGGATGGCTCCCCCAAAGCTATATGAATATAGAAATCAACTAGCGAAATGTTTGTTACAGGATTCATCCGCCCCCAAAGGTGCCTTACAAGGCTCCCGTACTATTTCAGAAGAATAAGGATGAGACGTTACGTTAATGTATAGACTATAAAGCTTTGAACAAGTTGACGGTACATAACAAATATCCCTTACCAATAATATCCAACCTGTTTGACCAGCTTTACGGGGCCAAATAATTCACGAAGCTAGACTTACGATCAAGGTACTACCAAATATGCATTGCTAAGGAAGATGAACCCAAGACAACATGTCCATGCCACATCAAACCCTTTATTTGATTCCATGTTGTATAGCCTTACTATTGTATTTTCTGTTTGTATGACTATTTGGCGAAATCATGTCTAGGCCTACCAGATGTGAATTGCATCAAAATGTACCATAGGGGATGCGACTAATCGTCAATTCTTCCTATCTAGAGTTATATATTATCTAAGCCGTTATGTTGCCTTTCTCGCTTATAGCTTATAACATTGCTTTCAAAACCTTCTTTCAATCTTGCTTTCAAGCTCTCTTTTAAGAATCCTTCGTTTGAGTTCATGTCCATGCAAAAGATATTTCACATTTTGCATGAATATCCCTTCATGAGTTGATATTAATTACTTTATCAAAACAAATATTTGAAAAAGTCTCGTTTATTATGAAACATAAAAGATAACAAGAAACTAAAATAAATGGAAGTAGTCTTAACCTTATATGATTTATTGGGGGTAAATATTGGGGGGAAAACAGGCTATAGATGATGATGGACTTCATTAACTATGCATCTTTAAGCTGTTTGTAGTGAAGTAGATGGTCGTTTGCTGCTTGAGCAATGTCTATGAGAGGCTGTAAGGTAACGAGTGAGGCATTTGCAGCAGCCTCTTCCTTTATTTCATATTCAATGGTGGATTCAACAATGCAGCTATCATCACCATTTTCAACAATCTTCAAGCGAACCCTATAGAGAGTAAACCCAATATCCAAGAACCCTCCTTCCACCACCTCCGTCTCTTTTATACGATTCTCATTATCTATCTTTGTGAATTTCTCCTTATAACTTGGCGCACCACCTAAACCTGCATTTATACGTAGACTTTCATATTACTAAATCCATTCTCCACATGACGTGCTCTAGTTTAACCTTATATATCAAACTTACATGTTAGTAAGGTACATCAAGTCAGCGCTCGTGTACATGTATTTAGTCTTCCAACTTTTACATTTATAACGAGTTAGTATCTGTATTATTATGATTTAATTCATATATTTTTGTAATTAAATTTTAGTTTATATATATTGCGATTGTTAATCGTATTTAAATTAAATTTAATTCTAAAATAATTAATAACTCAAATCAAATTAGTTATAACCTTTTTCAGAATCAATCAAAATTAAGTTTATTACCCTTTTCAATAAAAATTAATCCACTGAAATCCATGAAAAATAAAACAACAAAATCATTAATGACATCAAACTACAAACAAACAGACCTGATATTTATTATAAGAATTTCATTATTAATTCTTTCATAATTTTGTTTTAGAAATATACATCATCAACATCTTCGAGACACATAAAATTGAGACATCAATGTAGCAAGTCTTCAATAAGACTATTTTTAAAAAAAATTTACAAAGGAACTCGTTAGGGAGAGAAACATCACCGAACATTGTATTAAATACTGAATGAAAAAAATATGTATAAATTTGAAAGTCGAAAAAAAAAAAAACGAAGATGATTAGAAACTATTACCCGGTGGGAAAATGAGATTAAGAACAGTTCCTTCTCCTCCATCGCCTTCAACCACCTCAATTTTCTGGATAAGGTTCGAGAGGCGGTTTTCGACAAGTCGTGCAAGTTCAAGACCTCCGTAGAGCTGCCATGCCACGGTGGCTGGCGCCTGGATTACAGCCTCATGAGAGAGTTGACCCAACATTTTCTTAATTTAGAGGTGTGGGTTATGTGAATAACGATATAGAAAGATGGTAAGAAACGAGAAGACTAATGAGTTCTATAAAGAGCAAGGACAAAGGCAACTGAAGAAGAATATTGTTGGTTGGTTTATGGGAGATTCCTGTTGTACACGAAGACACAAAATTAAGAGGGAATTTTTAATTAAGACTATTGTTCTTAATCATAACGCCATGTTTCCAATGTTTTTTTTTTTTATTTGATGTCATTGTCATTGATATATATATCAATGATATCTTGGTCAAGAAAGGGTACTTTTATCCAAACATGCGGGATGACATAATGCAGTATACAAAGACGTCTCATCTGACAATAGGATAAAGTCGAGAAGGCCAAGGTATCGGGACTCCTTGAACCCCTACTAGTGCCGATAAGACCGTGGGATAGTGTGTCACTAGACTTCATAACACACCTCTCGAAAGTAGGCAAATATAAGTCATCTTGGTTGTCATAAACTGGTACTCGAAATACACCACGTTTGTTCTCACCCCCAAAGTATACTTGGCTGAGTTAACAGCTAAATTGTTCTTCAAACACATTGTGAAGTTGTGGGGCATTTCGTACAGCATCGTCAGTGACAGAGACAGTAGATTCATATCAATATTATGGACCGAGTTATTCACGTTACTGGGGACGACTTTAAATATCTCATCAAGCTACCACCCCAAACTAACGAACGGACAGACAGAACAAATCAACTACTTGCTCGAAGAATACTTGCGTCCCTTTGTCGACACTCATCAGAAGAATTGGGTACAACGGCTAGATGTGACTCAATTATGTTTCAATTGCCAAATGAGTTCATCTACTGGAAAAATCCCCTTTGATATTGCAAGTGGACAACACCAAGTCTTGCCCCATATTATTGATCATTCATATGTAGGAAAGAACCCTCAAACCCAAAAATTCACAAGAGAATGGAAGCAAACAATAGATATAGCCCGAGTTTATTTGGAGAAAGCTTCCATAGACATGAAGAAGTGGGCAGACAGGAAACGTTGTTGCCTCCAATTTCGAGTAGGAGATTATGTTCTTATCGAATTAAGGCCTGAACAAATCAAATTTTGCAGTCGAAAGGACTAGAGAATTGTTCGAAGATACGAAGGATCGATTGAAGTTTTAAAAAGAACCAACATCTTACTGTCTTTTGACTGAGTAACTCGCCGCTGGTGAGAGCAGAGAGAAATCTTTGGAAGAAGAAAACCAAGAAGAAAGAAGAAGAAAACCAAGAAGAAATGTTTGGAAGAAAAAACAGAACGAGCAAAAGAACGAAAGCCTTGGGTTTTGTTGTTGCTAAAACAATGTGCGATCTTTCTCATTTCATTGCAGTATTTAAAATAAACCTATATTCTAAAAATGACCTAAGTGGCCAACTAAACTTCAGCCACTCCCTTCTAAATGGCCCAAATGGCGAGCTAAAATTATGCTACTCGAATTGAAGTGTATGCGTCAAATTGTCTCACAAAAATTCAACTAACTAAATCAAGTAAAGACCTGAGAATAAACTAAATAAGAAAAATCATAGGGCTTTTATCTAACAATATCCTCCTAGAACGTGTGGTATATCTACCTTATTGTTTGAACTTCGATCTTTGAGTCAAGTTCCTCAAATTTTACCTGCGCCAGAGGCTTGGTGAAGATGTCTCCAAGCTGTTCCTCTGTTGAGATGAAGTCAATCTTGATAAGCCCCAAATTTGCACATTTCCAGATGTAATGGAATCTGATCTCTATGTGCTTGCTTCAGTCATGCAAAACTGGATTTTTGATCAAGGAGATCGTAGACTTGTCCATGCACAACATTGGTGGATCGCCTTCTCTTCCTATCAGCTCCTCGATCAGTTGCGCAAGCCAGACCCCTTGTATGGCCGTCGTCTAAGCTGCGATGTACTCTGCTTCACAAGAAGACAGAGCAACTACTTTCTGTTTAGTTGATTGCCAGCAGATCGCACCGCCTGAGAGAAAGTAAATCATCCTGCTAGTTCTCTTACGATCATTAACGTCATTGGCCATGTCACTATCATTGTATTCGACCAGCTCAAGCTTCTTCCTTCCTCTCCCTGCACAGTATCTCACACCCCAGCCTCTGGTTCCGACCACATAGCGCAGGATGCACTTGACAGTCACAAGATGTTCCTCCCTTGGTGCTTCCATAAACCTACTCACGTATTCAATGGAATTGGTGGCGTCGATCGCAGGCTTAGTGCCGGCCTTCCTTAGCTGAAGTCGAGCCTGCATTGGTGTCCTTGTAGAGTTACTGTCTGCCAGCCTAGTTGTGTCCAGCAGCTTCTTCACATACGCACTTTGACAGATGGTGATGCCGGCAGTACTCTGCTGCACTTCGATGCTGAGGTAGTAGCTGAGTGCACCGAGATCGCTCATCTTCAAGGTCGTTGAATTCTTCCTCTTGAATCTTCTAAGAACTTTCATGTCGCTTGCAGTGATTATGAGATCGTCGACGTACACTACCATGATCCACTGCTGCTCGCCGTGGTCGCACATGTACATGTCATTTTCAGAGGCACAGTGCTTGAATTTAATCGTCAACAGGGTACTATCGAGCTTCGCGTTTGAGACTCGTGGTGCTTGCCGAAGCCCGTAGAACGCCTTGTCTAAGCGCATTACCTTATCGGAGTTGTCGTTGTTGATGAAGCCAGATGGTTATCAGACGTAGACGGTCTTCTTCAGCTCTCCGTTGAGGAAAGTGGACTTCACGTCCATATGGTGGACCTCCCAAGAGTGACGTGTCATGATCGCTAGTAACAAGCGAACGGATTCCAACCTTGCCACTGACGCGAACATCTCTTCGAAGTCCACTTCTTTCTTCTGAATGTAGCCCTTTGCCACTAGACGAACCTTACGCTTCAACTTGAACACCCATTTGAGCCCCATGGCTCGGTGTCCTGGCGGTATGTTCTCTAGACTCCACGTCTTGTTCTCAGTGATAGACGTCGTCTCTTCCTGCATTTCCTTCAGCAAGCATGGGTTCTTCTTTGCTTCGACGAAAGAGTTCGATTCATCTGTACTGATGGCATGCAGTTCGGCCACCTCTTCTTCAAGCTCGCGTACTGCCAGTCCCGATGGTTCACCTTCTCCTAGTAGGTTTTCAATCTTCCGGTACCTGGCTACCAGACCATCATCGTGATCAGCATCCAGCGTCGAATCCATAGTACGTGGTGTTGCGAACTCTACTAGTTCAGGAGGCGTAGAAAGAGTTAAGGCCGGTGTTAGCGTAGACGTGCCCGGTGTAGTTGCTGGTGGTGGTGACAGTGCATGGTGTTGCGCTCCTTCTTCCAGCTCGGTGATGAGGTACTCTACCGTGAATTATTCTGGGTTTTGGTCTGCCTCCATCACGTCATTCCACCGCCATAAGGTGTTCTCATCGAAGACGACGTCAGGCCATACGTGAGCTCGCCCCCTTGCAGGAGCATAGAGCCGTTACACCTTGCTCCTCGGTTCGTAGTCATTGAAGATGACCTTTAAACCCCTAGGATTGAGTTTGGCGAGGTGGGGACGCGTGATCTTCATGTACGCGATGCAGCCGAACACTCAGAGATGATGTACCACAAGCTTCTTGTTGTAACAAACCTCGTGTGGTGTCTTCCGTCGAGGTTTCGCGTTGGTAACAGATTGAGGAGGTAGACGGCCGTCATGACCGCCTCTCCCCAGAACCTCTCGGGCATCCCGACAGTCATCAGTGGTGATCTTGTCATCCCAACGATGGTCTAGTTCCGGCTCCACCACCCCATTCTACTGAGGAGTAGGGCGTCCTTAGGTGTTGCTGCACACCGAGCTCGTTGCAGTACTTATCAAAGCTCGTCGAGGTGAATTCTCCACCTCGATCCGTGCGCATCCCTCGCATCTTCTTCCCGCATTCGGTCTCCACGTGCGCTTAAATGTGCTTAATCGCCTCCGCCGCCTCACTCTTCGCTTGCAGCAGGATCAGCCACATGAAGCGGCTCTTGTCATCGACCAACAGGAGGAAGAGATTGTTGTGTACGAGCTCCAATGGCTCACCGGTGCGGTAGGATGCCTGAGACAGAAAATGGGTGCGCTTCTGCTTACCGATGAGACACCTGTCGCACAGCCTATTCACACCCTCGATTGCAGGCAAACCGTACACCATCTCCTCCTTATGTAGTTTTTGAAGAGTAGGAAAGCTCAGGTGCTCGTACCTTGCGTGCCACCTCTAAGTTGCTTCTTCAGTCCTGGCTGTGAGATTGACCAGCTGTTCTATCTCCAACTCTAGGATGTAGAAGCGGTTCGCCGTGCGCCGAACTTGCGTGAGGAGCCGTTGTCAATCGTCGCAGATCTTGAACAGCCTGCGCTCAATGGAAATGTAGCAGCCGGTCTGATCGAGTTGACCCAGGCTCAGAAGGTTAACCTTGAGCCTCGAGTTGAAGTAGACGCCGGTCAGCTTGCAGTGCTCGCCTCCCTTGCTGATGAACAAGATGGTGCTGCGCCCTTTGATCTCGACGATGGAGCTATTGTCGAACTTCACCGTCCCGCAAATCCCCGAGTCAAGCTCGGAGAACTCAGACTTGGCCCCAATCATATGGTTTGTTGCCCTCGTGTCGAGGACCCATTGTCGATGCTCGCGCTGCTCGCCCCTTTCGTCGATTTGACCGAACACTCACTCCTCCTTTAGCTGAATCAGCTCTTCAACCGGTGCCTTTGCCACGCCCAGCTAGAGCTCTTCCTCGAGATCTATCGAACCCTCACCGACGACGGTCACCGGAGTAGCGCCGTCGTCGATTGCTACTGTAGATTTGGAATCGAAATTGGGGAAGATAGATAACACCAATGCGGTCACCATGAAAAGTGTCGGCTCTTCCTCCTCGAATTAGGCCACATGGGTCTTCTCCTTGTTCCTGGGCCTAGCAATCTTTGCTTGGTGGCTTTTCATCCCACAGTTCGAGCACCGGATCAGCCCGCCATCAGTCGACTTCTTCTTATTGAAATTGAAAT